AAAAAAAAAAAAAATCTCTCACTTCAATGAGTCCGGACCGATGTGATGAATTCAACGAGCGACAAAGTTCGGAACGATCACGTGATCTCCAATGAATGAATCTCCTTGGCTCTTTTTCCTGGAGACTCCGCTGCGAAATCGTTCGTCCATGATTGCGATTCGTTTTTCGAGGAAAAGCTGTTAACAATTGCTCTCTCATGGTTCGTTTCAACTTTAATTTGAAAACTTCCTCTCCGATTTCGAGGATGCGAGGGTCGGTGAAGTTGCCTTCCGGGGGAAGTCACGTCTGAGTGAATTTTTGAAAAATTATTCAGTTTAATCAGCTTGTAAACGTACATTTTCGGGTCAGCTTCATCAGTCGCTGATATCACAAAAAACTGGTTTTTTTTTCTTCTCATGATGCTTTTCTGCGTTTTCGAACCTTTTCCGTCAGAAGACGATTTGCTTCGAACGTATTTTTGTGAGGCTGATTTTATTATTTCCTCTGATGGTACTTGTAACATTTCTTTGCTTCTGAATGATTTTGAGTTGAGTACGCAGCATTGCTATCTTCAAGTATTTCCCGGTTCTTCATTGCTCTGTTCCATCTCCCAGACTTACATATGACCCCTTCCATTATGGACCATCTTTGAAGATGTGAAGGGTATAAACCTAGATCCCTTATGCTTTTTTTCAGAACTATCTTTGAAATCTGTATGTAACTTTTTTTTAAAACCATCTTTACATTTGTGCACCTGTAAAGTGCAATCTATTCAATTGTAAAATATCTAAGAATCTGAATGTTAGCTCTTTCCCGTTCTTTCTCTTGAAAAAATGCACCATTCATGAAAAGATGAAATTAAAATCAATACATATGTAAACAGTGAAGGATGATAGGCTGTGTCTGTCATTTGGCACCCAAGTCCCTCATTTCCTCCCCTCAATTTCCCGCAACATCTCTCTTCCGTGTTGGCCTACTCTATGAACGGACCAAAATTCGACATGATGTGGCCTGAAGTTTTCGAAGATGTGAAATAGAAGATATGTGGATGTCAACCAATGTGTTTCTGAGATTCTTTCCACTGTGGCACAATGTAGATGCGCATTAATTTCGTGCTGAAAATGATTTATTTGCATTCGTCATCAATTACATCCATAGGAAATTCTGATGACATGTTTTTGTTGCGACAATATAGTGCTTTGACTAGGCTACTCGTTTTCACAAGCACTGTGGATGCCATATGACGAAGATACACCATATGCTCTTATTCAGAAGTTGAGTGAAATACATATTATTAAAAGGGCAATACGCCTCATCGAATGAACTGCTAAGCTACTGGTTGGAGTAAAGGATTGTGTTTCCTCTGGAATGCTTCCCTCACATGAGAGTTTCAGGCACGAATATCTTCTCCGATTCGGTTCTTCATCCCTTGAGCCATCTGCGCCAGTTCGGTTTTCGTATGGAGCTTCCCGTGCGTGTTCTCGTGAATCCGAAAGATCATCAGGGTCGAATAAACAGATGTCGAAACCCTCTTCGTCGAACTCCTTCGTGCACTCTTTGTAAGGATCGAAATTGTCCTTCAGCTTTATGGCGTCATGGTGACATTCATTTACTCACAACACATTACATATCCTTGCTCCTTGTGAATTTCCCCTCAATTCCTCCATGAGTACAGCTTTTTCATTTTGATTTTGGAATGGATGAATTTAACTTCCTTAATTAGGGTGCATTGGAGAATGGAAAACAATATTTATATTGCTACTGAGATCAAGGGTTTCTTGAGTGGCAGACTGTTGCATTCAAGAATTAAATCTAACAATGGCCAAAACTGAGTAAGATCCATGGAAATTCATGTGAGGATATCTTCAATTGTAAGGTTTTCATTTTTCAGAGACACTAGGGGCATTCATACCAATTTCTAAATGCATCGACTTCACCTTCTTGGTAGGACATAAGTAAGAGCCTCATGCTGTCTAATGAAGAGTGAAATGGTTCTGCAACATCTGATGCCCTTGAGACATCTAAATGATGCAATACATCCCTGCAGTTCCTTCCTTCTGTCTTTCCTTGCCTGGTACTACACTGAACTCTGTGGTGCCCCCAGCTCATTTGTTTGATGGACCACTTGACCACAAGTTCTGATACACGTTCTTCAGGTATTTACAAACTTTCCAAGTGATTTTCCCCTTACTCCATAATTTTTACCTTCCTCAGTAATATTCCAGTCAATAATATTAATGATTTACTTTTACGTCATTCAATGTGATCAAATGATCATTTATAACAGTGACATTGAAGAAGTTCTTCAAATCAAATAAAATCACAGAAGTAACAAGAACCAACAAGGAATGTTAACGTTTGGCAAATTATAAAGCTACAATACAAGTACTATCCCATCTATGAACTCATCTTTAATGTTTAATTGTCATCAATGAAATAAATCTTAATAATACTGAAATGAGCAAGATTAACAAGGCCTAGGCCTGGGGAAAAATATTTAAAAGGTCAGTGCAATCCAGAAAAAAAGAATACTAGAATGAACAGGATGAACAAGGCCTAGACTCGAATAAAAAAGGCATTTCAAAAGAAAGTTAAATCCATGACCTCTATGACCGGGACCTTCCCACCTACAAGTCAATACCCATGGAGCACGTCTTTCCGAATCTAAACGAAACTTAAACAAACGGAGCCCATTCACGCTTCTGTTCCAGGCCTTTGGGACAGAACACCCTGACATCTCAATGCATATTACAAGGAACGGAATATTCAGCATGGACTAAAGATGACTCCAACAAAGCCTATCATTGTGCCTATGGGTCGTCCTCACGTAAAAGCTAGAGCGTCTCCGATATACCTCGGAATCTCCGAGTTTCCGTGAAAGTTCCCTCCCTTTCGTGAAGCCAATTTGCAAATCTGATTTCGAAAAGGCACAGCCTCGGATGATAAAGAAGAGTTCAGTCGAAACCAAAAGTTCATGTCTCGAAGGGTTTGGCTGTCGTGCACATACAAACACAATATTGCTGAAGATTTATATGAATCACCAAATTTGTCNACGTACATTTTCGGGGTCAGCTTCATCAGTCGCTGATATCACAAAAAACCGGGTTTTTTTTCTTCTCATGATGCTTTTCTGCGTTTTCGAACCTTTTCCGTCAGAAGACGATTTGCTTCGAACGTATTTTTGTGAGGCTGATTTTATTATTTCCTCTGATGGTACTTGTAACATTTCTTTGCTTCTGAATGATTTTGAGTTGAGTACGCAGCATTGCTATCTTCAAGTATTTCCCAGTTCTTCATTGCTCTGTTCCATCTCCCAGCTTTACATATGACTCCTTCCATTATGGACCATCTTTGAAGATGTGAAGGGTATAAACCTAGATCCCTTATGCTTTTTTTCAGAACTATCTTTGAAATCTGTATATAACGTTTTTGAAAACCATCTTTGCATTTGTGCACCTGTAAAGTGCAATCTATTCAATTGTAAAATACCGAAGAATCTGAATTTTAGCTCTTTCCCGTTCTTTCTCTTGAAAAAATGAAAATTCATGAAAAGATGAAATTAAAATCAGTACATATGTAAACAATGAAGAATGATAGCCTGTGTCTGTCATTTGGGACTCAAGTCCTTCATTTCTTCCGTGTTGGCCTACTCTATGAACGGACCAAAATTCGACATGATTTGGTCAGAAGTTTTCGAAGATGTGAAATAGAAGATATGTGGATGTGAACCAATTTGTTTCTGAGATTCTTTCCACTGTGGTACAATGTGGATGCGCATTAATTTCGTGCTGAAAATGATTTATTTACATTCGTCATCAATTACATCCATAGGAAATTCTGATTACATGTTTAAGTTGCGATAATATAGTGCCTTGACTAGGCTACTCGTTTTCACAAGCACTGTGGATGTCACATGACGAAGATACACCATATGCTCTTATTCAGAAGTTGAGTGAAATACGTAGTATTAAAAGGGCAATACGCCTCATCTAATAAACTGATAAGCTACTGGTTGGAGTAACGGATTGTGTTTCCTCTGGAATGCTTCCCTCAAATGAGATTTTCAGGCACGATGATTTTCTCCGATTCGGTTCTTCGTCCCTTGTGCCCTCTGCGCCAGTTCGGTTTTCGTATGGAGCTTCCCGTGCTTGTTCTCGTGAATCCCAAAGATCATCAGGGTCAAATAAGCAGATGTCGAAACCCTCTTCGTCGAACTCCTTCGTGCACTCCTTGTAAGGATAGAAATTATCCTTCAGCTTCATGGCGTCATGGTGACATTCCTTTACTCAGAACTCATTACATGTCCTTGCTCGTTTTGAATTTCCCCTCCATTCCTCCATGAGTACAGTTTTTTCATTTTGATTTGGGAATGGAGGAATCTATCTTCCTTAATTAGGGTGCATTAGAGAATGGAAAACAATATTTATATTGCTACTGAGATCAAGGGTTTCTTGAACGGCAGACTGTATACAAGAATTGAATTGAACTGCAGCCATAACTAAATAAGATCCATGAAAATTCCTGTGAGGATATCTTCAATTGCAAGGTTTTCAGTTTTCAGAGACACTAGGGGGATTCATACCAATTTCAAAATGCATTGACTTCACCTTCTTGGTAGGACATAAGTAAGAGCATCATGCTGTCTAATGAAGAGTGAAATGGTTCTGCAACAATCTGATGCCCTTGAGATATCTAAATGATGCAATACATCCCTGCAGTTCCTTCCTTCTGTCTTTCCTTTCCTGGTACTACACTGAACTCTGTGGCGCCCCCAGCTCAGTTGTTTGATGGACCACTTTGCCACTTGACCACAAGTTCTGATGCACGTTCTTCAGGTACAATATTTACAAACTTTCTAAGTAATTTCCCCTTACTCCATAATTTTTACATTCCTCAGTAATCTTCCAGTCTTATATTATATTATCATATTATCAATGCTTTACTTTTTCATCATTCATTGTGATCAAAAGATCAATTATCACAGTGACATTGAAGAAGTTCTTCAAATAAAATAAAATCACAGAAGTAACAAGAACCACCAAGGAATGTTAACGTCTGGCAAATTATAAAGCTACAAGACAAGTACTATCCCATCTATGAACTCATATGTATTCTTTAATTGTCACCAATGAAATAAATCTTAATAATACTGAAATAAGCAAGATTAACAAGGCCTAGGCCTGGGCAAAAAATATTTAAAAGGTCAGTGCAATCCAGAAAAAAAGAATACTAGAATGAACAGGATGAACAAGGCCTAGGCTCGAATAAAAAAAGGCATTTCAAAAGAAAGTTGAATCCATGACCTCTATGACCGGGACTTTCCCACCTACAATTCAATACCAATGGAGCACGTCTTTCCGAATCTAAACGAAACTTAAACAAACGGAGCCCATTCACGCTTCTGTTCCAGGCCTTTGGGACAGAACACCCTGACATCTCAATGCATATTACAAGGAACGGAATATTCAGCATGGACTAAAGATGACTCTAACAAAGCCTATCATTGTGCCTATGGGTCGTCCTCACGTAAAAGCTAGAGCGTCTCCGATATACCTCGGAATCTCCGAGTTTCCGTGAAAGTTCCCTCCCTTTCGTGAAGCCAATTTGCAAATCTGATTTCGAAAAGGCACAGCCTCGGATGATAAAGAAGAGTTCAGTCGAAACCAAAAGCTCATGTCTCGAAGGGTTTGGCTGTCGTGCACATACAAACACAATATTGCTGAAGATTTATATGAATCACCAAATTTGTCCCACAACGAGGTGCACCCGCAGTAAATATCCAGTTTCAATGTACTCCTAAGCTACTCACGGAGTCACGGATTCTTTTTCCTCTGTTGTGGCCCGGTCAAATGAGATTTTCCAGAGCGAATAACATCTCCGATTCGGTTCTTCATCACTTGTGCCTTTTCCACCAATCCCATTTCATGTGGAGCTTCCAGCGCTTGTTCGCGAGAATCCCAAGTTTCATCAGGGTCAAATAAGCAGATGTCGAAACCCTCTTGCTCAAACTCTTTCATGTATTCCTTGAAAGGATTGAAATCATCTTTCAACTTCATGGCCAGTTCCGCTTTGGCTCTGGCGTCTTGCAGGTATTTCATTCTCTGTTGAAATCCAGGTCGACCTTCCTGCCTTTCAGACGCAATCAATAGGTCTAGGTAATCCGTTACCTCCAAAGGATCGGGCTTCAGGGCTATTTCCTCGAGTTTTCGCAAGCATTTGTGCGCCCTCTTAGTTAGATCGAGGACTTTCGCCCTCTCCTGGTTGAATTCCTTGATGAGTTCTTTCACAACTCCTTGGACAGTGAACTTCTCGCCAGCCGCTCGTTTGTATTTTGCCTTGAGCTCTTTAGAGGTTTTTTTCACCTCTTCTTCTACTATTTCGAAGCGATACTGGTTATTGACGTGGTTCCTCCAATGACACATGCCAGGACAGACCATGCACTGGCCTGTCATGTAGTTCACGACATCACAATCTCCTTTTCGATCGTCATTTGGCACGGTGCAGGGGTAGTGGCAGGTGAAGTTGCATTTTAGGCAATTTGTGACATATTCACCGGTTTTCAGGTTCAACTTTAACTGTTTTTGAACTTTCACTTTGTATGAAAAGTTTTTATTGGCTAATATATCAGCTTCGTGCTGTTTTAACGTAGCATGTTCCTGTCTGACTTGTTCCAGTCTTCCCAAGCCTGTAAATTGAAAATTGATGGATATTGAAGACTATTATAAGTCACATTGTTCCCTTCCAGGAAAACACACAATATTCCCTGCGCTGATGAAATAATTTCCGTCATTCCTCTACCCCATTCATGGCATATCTGAAAATCATACGAGAAACCTGCTAATCTTGATTTGAAAGCAAACATATGTTTACTGCTTTCAAAATCGAATGAAAAGATATCGAGAGGGATTTTTTGACTGCAGGAAGGAGTGTTTCCCTGGAAGAGAACCTTTGTAGACTAAGGATGAAATTAAGAATGAAATCTTACTTGTGAGAATTTGCGGCTGGAGGCCCTGGAGCGTCGTCTCCAAGTGCTTCCTCTCCTGCATCACCTCTTTCGTCAATGTGAGACTTACAGGTCTAGTCTCCAGAAATTTTCTAAAGAACATTTCGTAGTTTTCTGCGCCCATCTCCCAGTACATCCTTTCGAAATCCTTCGAGTGCTGCTTGTCTGGGAAAAGGGCGGAATTATTAAACTTGAAGTCCCCTTTGTAGGGAACACCAGCCACCTTGATGGCATTCAAAACAGGGGGAGTTGTGTTGTCCGCGAACGTGACGAGCACATAAATAATGTCTGCAACATCTCTTCCAAACACAGACAATATGGAGTCGAATATATACTTTTGACTTGGTGTGAGTCTAGCCAGAGCTGCCTGTACGACAAAGCAAATCCCATCGAGCTGATCCACCCCGAATTTCCCTCCTTTCAAGAAGAATTCATGAATCTGTTCTCTCAACTCCTTATCCGCATGTATTCCATCGGTATCGCCAAATCCTGGCGTATCGATCAAGGTCAAAGTGTATGGAAGTGCGAATCCTTCATCCTTGTGGAGGACGTACGCCGTGATCCACTTTGTCTGACTCCAAGCTTGAGACCTTCCAATTCCTTCATTAGTGACCAGCATTAGACGGAAATCATCTTCCCGTTTCACTCCATAGGCGTAATTGACCATCCCATTGATGAGAGTACTCTTTCCTAAAAGAAGATTGAAACAAGCAAGGTTGTGATGATGCTTTTTGTGTTTTTCAGATACTTTCATTGCTAGGACAGCATTGCATATATTTTGAATCGAGATATATTTGCATATTGAATCATCCATAAGCTTTTAATAAACCGCTGATCTAAATTTTGGATGATACATCATCAATCACCTAGTCTGATTCGATTTTTTTGCAAGATTAAATGTAATCTTTTGGATCAATACCTTTTCATAATCTAAGGAGATTTTTCTTTGCAAGCATCAATTTGGTCGTTAATTCAGAGGGTTTTGAAGCGCGCACATTTTCATGTTCTTTTTTCAGGTTTGTGTAGTCACCTTCAGGCTTCGGAAATCTAAGACGCTTTACCATTAAAACACGGAGCAATGCTAATCTCAAAATGAACAAAATGCAGTTCCTTTCGAAAGCATGACTACATTCTGCAGAGCTGGTTTTGCTTGAATTCTTTCAATTTTTGGGCAGTCTCCGCGTTAACTCATGTGCTGTTACTTTAGCACTCAATGTCTTTCTTCACCACGTAGAAATGCTGAATAGCTTGGCATGTTGCCTCAGAGCAGTTCCGATGTAAAATCCCTGAGAGAAAGGTAATGCGAATTTCGGATTTTTCTGAATCTGCATGACTTTAAACGGAAAAAAAATATGGCACCCACTACGGCCACACACCGAACCTAGAGGATTTAAATAGGAAGAGAGGTGGCAGGTATGTCATTACTGCACCGAATGAATTGCGCTTCATCTCGATGTGGATCGTGCAACTCGTTCAATCTGGAAGGGATTTTTTTGTAGTCTTTTACATAAAAATGCAAAGGAGGATGGTCAAATCAGAGGGGATTCTGCTAATTTCGTCGCTGTGTGAAACTGGTGTCGATCAATAGAGATCCCAAAGTTGTCCATAAATATCAATGGTCACACTGTGATCCGATGTTTCCCTGATCTATCATAGGGCGAAAAAATGGGCATTGTAGTTCAATTTCATTGTTGTTCAACCAATTTTGACACATAATGCGTTCATACTTACAATATCAGACCGGTAGAATAGAATGGTGGAATCATTTACCCATATAACAAATCCTTATCATCATTACCAATTGATTCGTAAATGGAGACCACTGATTACGAAAACGCCATGGTTTTATTTTCTTTATACGGTAATAATAATCTGCACTATTATGCACCCATTTCAAGCAGTATTTTTCCATAATTGTACATTATTTATCCGAATGTAACATTTATTTACAATATGAATAGAATTTTCTAATTTTCCTATCATGTATCTTGATGATAGTCTCTTACATTCAAATATAGCTATTATATCTTACCGAGAAAAAGGTTGTTTACATAGTTCAAAGTTATCAACAATGATTAACAACCTCAAGTTTATTATCTTCAATGTCGTAGTCATTATCACACACTTTTTCACTTTTACTAAATCATTTTAGGTTCCTATAGTTTCTGTTCTGAGATCACCTGCCAGTTTAAGGAATTTCACCATAGATCTATCCGTGTAAATATGCGATGATTAAACTAATTTCGGAAAAAATTTTTTAATGGTATGATCCCGGTAATACCGAGGTATCAGAGAGTTTCTGCATAACCAGTATACAGTGCAGACCAGCAAGAAGTGAAATTCGTATTTTACCTTTCCGTGTTTTGCAAAGTGTACACACTCATGGTAATCTGTATCTTCATGTGTACCTTGTTGTTCACTTCTACCAATTGTCCTTCCGCAAAAATATCGAAGGGTAAAAGTATCGTTGGGTGACAATGTATCCAAACTAGACCTCAAAAGACAGCTCTTTAAGCTCGGTGCAATGTGAGTTCTTTCAACAATATGGCTATAGCTACAAGTGCTGAGAACTTTTGCCTCTACGCGTTCATGCGATTCAAACTTGGCAAATCGGTGGCTACCTGTCACAGGGAACTATGGTGATGACGCTCCTGGCAAGGCTACTGTTTTCAACAGCTTGAAAGGTGCAGCTGAGAATTAGGAAGAGCCTTCCTTTTTTGACCAGTTCCACAAGGGTCATTCGAGGTCCACCCGGACACCAGGGCTTGTCGAGACGGTGAGAGAGGTGGTAGATAAGGACTGCCAAGTAACTACTTCAGAGCTGGCTGAGTGGCTTGAGGTTGTCAAGAGCACCATCTGCGAGATGCTCACACTAGACCAACAACTGTGCTACGAGGTATCAGTTCGGATAACGCAATAACTGACCGAGGACAGCAAAACGGATCGCATCAACGGAGCAAAGCACATCTGGGCATTTTTTGCTGCGAAGGCATGGAGGCTTTTCGCAGCGAGCTCAACAAGGCCTTTTCCAACAATCTCGTTCGG